TATGTTGGATTTTATGGTTTTATTAGCTGTGATCAGCCCAAAGAACTTTGGCTATTGGGAACTTCTAGAAAGAGAGAAATAAGAAGATTAGGACCGGGAAACTGAGGCTGGAATCTCAACCGGGTGGCAAACTCCTGCCTTGTCCTGCCAACCTGTTTCCCCAGGACTGCTGGAAGGACAAAATGGATTGGAGGAGCCAGGCACCACTTTGCTTCTAAGCAACCTGGAAAATGGGCAGGTTAAATTAATTTGTAAAAGTAAAAGTGGAAGCCATCAGTAAAGCTGAAATGAGCAAACTAACTCTAGAAGAGTTTAAAAACCCAGGAAATTTGCCCAGAGTCCAGAAATAGCTGACTGGGCATTTCAACATCAGCCACTGTGGGGTCGTGGAAGGGGAAGGCGGAGGGAGGGGGGTAATGAAGGAATTGGCCAGCCCTGTCAGGATCCTTGAACTGTTGCTGAAATGCAAGTCTGCAGAAGGTGGGAGCAAAAGGGAGAGAGCCGTTTGCACAGAAAGCAGCACAGGCTTTTGCGCAGAAACCCTACGTCCTCCAACAGGGGACTGGGAAACCGGGTCTTGGCCAAGTGTGTGTGTATGAGGGGCTCTGATATTGGAGGAAAGCTCACGCAGCTGATCCCTCCTGCACCCCCTTCAACAAGAACGAGGATCATGGTGGGCTGAGTCCTGCCTTTCATAATGAGAAGGGCCACCCGCGTGGCTTGGCTTGCCTTGCCTTGGCTAGATCCTCGGGTGCTTGGGGCCAGCCACTTCTGGGAACTCTTCAGAGCCATTTGCAAAGTACACAACACCTAAGCAACAGCTCCCTACTCAGGAGGGCTGGCAATGTTTCTGTAGCTGCACCTTGTCTGCAGCTCTTAGCAGGTAATCATGGTGATCTCCAAGGTGTGGACAGCTGCACCTGTCAACTCAAGCTGCTGCTGAAGGTACAAGAGCTGGCCAGGCTGGGGTCTGTCCCCTGGCCAGCTGGGAATCCCTACCTGCCAGACAGGTGAGTAAGTGCAAAAAAGGACAACAGAACCCCTTGGCTGCGTTGCCACCCATTTCCACCCCTTCTGAACATCAGATTTCAGGCAATTATTGAAACGGCTGCTCTGCCCACCTTCAAGCAGACCTAATTCCTCTACATTTGCACAGGCTATGATCTTTACACGGCCTTCTAAATCAAATGCTCCACCATCATTATTCCCTGTTGCTTTAATGTTAATCGCTTGTGTGTGCATAGCAGTCACGGGGAGACTCAAGCTGTGATGTTCACATGCCCCGCTTATTTGGAATCTTGAGCTTCCAGTCTGCAAGTTCAGCTATTTTGAGATTAGAACCCAGATAAGCCAGGCATGTGAAAAATCACGGTTTGGTCCTAGTGACCGCTGCCACACGCGCCGTATCTGCATACCTAGGTTATCCAACTTCGTGAAGTTCTGTTCCAAATACACCTGAAGTTTCAGGTCATGACCACTTTAGTTCAGAAGGATGGGTGGCCAAGCAGCCCCGCAGAAAATAGGGCATTGATAAGATACGAGCTTTTACCCGCTTAGTTAATCTACAACTGGTTTAGCACCAAGGGCTGCATGTGATGCTGGATCAGGGCCCAAACACACACACACACAAACCTCCGCATAGCAACCAACTTAATTCAGATTCTAAGGAATTCTCCGGAGGGAGCGGAGTGCATAGAAAATCAATGGAGGAAGGAAAGGCCATTCGGCAAGGCGGCAGATGGGTGTGAGTCAGGGCACCCGTAAGTACAAGCTTGGAGTTTAGCCCAGCAAATATATACCTCTTGGCCCATTTTGTGGCAACAGCTGGGCAGTTTAAACAGCCTGGGTAAACCCAATTCTGCCTGTTCCCCCACTCCCCATAACAGCAGGATCAATTTTCCTTTAAAAAGGAGAGCATGATGAGAGCAGATTCTACAAATATCAAGTTCACTCTGCAGGTGGGGCTGCTGACTTTGATGATGACTGAGATCCTGGGAGCCACGGCAGCCCTTCAATTCACAGGGCCGGGCGTTCACATCAGGAAGTGTCCGCAGCCAATGAAATGTCCCTTAACTTCCATTAGCTCTGCTAGAGGCCAATTTGCAAACCGAGCTCTATCACCAGCCACTATTCCACCTATCTGGCCCTGTAATTCCAGGAAACGCAGGGTTTAGTTTTTGAAGGGTGGGGGGAGCAAACCCTGTACAGAACTTGGTGTGCTGAAAACTACGTAACTTGAATTGAACCTAGATTAAGAAGCGTTTTGCATTCCCTGACTGTTTGAAGGTTTGCTTTACCGGGAATATCAGAACTTCTGTGTAACATGTGGATCGGGCCATCCCTTGACTAGAAGACACTCGACCCTTTGGCATGAAATCCCACACGGAGCGAAAGCAAGCAAGATGCCTTCACAGGCAAGATACTGGCAGACACTCAAACTTGACAGCCAATGTATACAGGGAGGAAAAGGATGGATTCATGGAATGCATTTGCAGCTGCTTGCTCACATCCTCCTCTCCCAAGAAGATGCAACCTGAAAAATGGTGCGTGCCCATGTCTCACTTCCCAGCGGCCTGTGTGTGCACCCCTCGCTGTAAGTGCTTATTAAGCGCAAAAGGCCACAGGCTGGAGAATGTGGGTCAGATCCACCCTTCTGTGCCTGGAGGCCGGATCTTGCCGCTCCATACCTGCCCTGAACCAAAATCTCTGCATCACTGCTTTACGGACAAGTATACAAACTGGGAGTCACTCCACTTCCAGGACTAACAAATAGACTCTGTTTCCTTAAAATTGTGAAGGACTAAGGCATTCCAGGAGCCTAACCACGAAGCAAGCAACCCAGAAAACAGACCACACGCCACTGGGTTCCGTCTTTCTTTTCTGACCTCTTGAGGTTCCTACGGAGCGGACAGGAAGCCCAGAGGCAAGGTGATGGGCTCCTCGTAGGACCACCCTAACCTCGAGGCAGGACGGTTAATGGAGTATGCCTATTACTATTCGTTAATAACAGACATACTCCATTACCCTAACCTAGGAAGGGGGAAATCGGTTGACAGAGCCAGCGGGCAGGGAGCACTTTTGCGTATGCCTCTTGGTCTACAGCAAAACAGGAAGCTGCCCTAGAGTGAGCAAGACCCACTTCCACGGGAGGTGGCGGAGGCCCCACCGGTGCGGGTGTTCAAGGACAGGCTGGACATGCACATGGTGGGCATGTCGTGAGCGGAGCCGGCTGGAGCCGGGGGTCAGACTGGATGGCCCAGGAGACCCCTTCTGACTCGCTCTGTTTCTATGCTTCTATGTTAAGACCGTGGGTCCATCTAGGCCAGTACAGCAGACACGGGCTGGCAGCAACACGACAGGGTTTTGGGCTGGGGCTCTTCTCAGTCTGAGCTGGAGATCCCAGGGAGTGAACAGGGGACTTTTGCAGGCAAAACTTCTGTCCTGCCACAGAGACGCTGCTTCTCCATACTCCCCCCTCCCCCGGGCCAGAAACACCTGCGCAAGACTGGGGAAACGAAAGGCCTGCTTGCACAGCCAATGCTATCCACCCTTCCGAAAGAGAAGACAGGGTGACACAGGGAGATGCCCGGCTGAGCAAGCAGTCAATGAAACTCTTGCTGCCTTTATTCTGATTGATTTCATCAGGGTTGTGCCCTGGACCGCACAATGCGCGGAGCACTTCGAGCCGCGGGTGTGTCTGTCGCCTCGCTTCCAGTGTGAGAGATGCAATGAGGTCATTTTAGCCATATTTCATGCCTGCAATGGCTGCTGATGCAGGGCTCCCTGGGAAGACACGGTCCTGAAATGCCGCATACTAAAAACAAACTGAGAAACAGTCAACAGAACTGGCTCGGGAGCTCGGGCTGGAATTGGGGTCCTCATGCTTGATTGATGTGGCCCAGGCCCTCTCCAGACCCAGAAGAGGTGGGGCGGACTCTCCCGCTGGGCAAGCAGCTGGACCCCTCTGGATTGGCTAGTCCTTTCCCACCTCCTCTTCCCTGATGGAGAACCTGGCCACACATGAGTCTTTTTATTATGTTTGGCATTTTTAAACCTTTATGAGTTATTACCATGAATGCGCCTGTATGAAGTTCTTCAATGCACAACACCAACTTCATATCCAACAGATCCAGACTTAGTAATTCCCCAGATTTACACCCATTCCAATAGCTAATAAGGAGAATCCAGTGCTTTGGGGTTCCCCCAATATCTTAATTGAGTTCATCCGCCCATTCTTGGGCCAGTTTAGAGCTGGTACTTACATTCAAAGCTTCCTCCTCTGCTTCACCAACAGAGCAGCAGCTTCTAAGTGCTGCATTTTAAATGGCTACCTCCCAGTCAGGTCAGGATTTGGATATGGCTGCCTACAGTCCCCACCCGTTTTTGGCAGAAGGGATCAATCCCCCACCACCTTCCTGAATGGACAGAATCAGTTATTTCAGACCAAATGCAATGGCGCCCTTTGAAAAACGTGCTTTGGAAGATCACCGCAGCACATCCGGAACCCGCTTTCTCCGAAACAGATGCCTCCAGCAGCTTTCTACAAGATCCAGTTCACCTTGCAATCATTTCATGGACAACAGGGCAACCGTTTGCCAAAGCCACTGGGTTGCTTGGTTTGTGTTCTCATGAGCCTAAAAGCCCTTTCAAACTCTGGGAAGCATTCAATGCGATTTTAGAGAAGGATCATGGGGAAAAAAGACAAAAAGGTTAGCCCCTTTTAATGGGGGAGGGGGAAGCTTGCAGGCTGAGCCAAGTATCCATGTTGAAATAGCCTCTGTTCTTTCCAAAGACCACATTTACTGGCTTGTTCATTGTGCAAAGAAGAATGTACGTTCTTGGAGAGGCACTAATCTAGTTTGGTTTTCTTCGTGTGAACACCCACCGGCAAGCAGCCGCCGCACACGGTTCCCTCCACCAAGACTGCAGCAATGCAGGTGAGGTGCAAAGGGCCGCAGATTTCTACCGACTGGCAGCAAAAGTAACACTCGCTTTCCTACCTTGCTCTGGCAGGGTTTGTGCTGGTCTTGCAGAAGACAGCGTGGCTGTGACCAGCACAGCCCAAAGGATGAGGCACTTCCACGTAAACATCCCAGTTCTGCTGCTACTGGTTGGTGACTGAGCTCTCAGACTCCATGAGGGCGTGGAGCTTGGGCGCCTGAGAAACGGGAGGGGCGTCTTTCCCAAGCGTCCTCCTCAGTCACTTGCTCTCCAGCGCGCAGGCTTCCAAGTGCTGTTGGTCAGAAAACGAGAGAATTAACGTACAGGAAGTCAGATGCGCTACAGTCACTTCCTTCACCAAGATCGGGGCTCCTTGCATCAAGGTAGCCGCTTATAAATCCTAATGAATACATGACGAGATAAACCCTGTTCTTCAAATAGAGAGTCCCTTCAGACTGAGGATGGACCTCTTTAAAAGAGGACACATGGCTACCTTAATTTGTGCTGTGCTTGCTCTAATAGATTAACGCAATGACACACTTTGGATTTTTCAGACATAAAGGGGGACATTCACACCACAGAAAACTGGGAACTGCAGTTCTGCAAGGGAGATACTCATCCACCTCTAAACAGAACCATCGGCTCATCTCTAAACTTAAATCCCCAGAATACTTTGGGAGAAAGCAAACAGTTAAAGTGACAACTGGCCTCTATCTGATCACACACACCAGCTCAGTTCTACCAGTAACTGTAACCTACAACCTTTGTTAGGACCAAACAAACTACATACATTAGTTCTTAAGAACCATCAAGTCATCGCTGCCTTATGGTGACCTTATGAATGGACACCCTCCAAAACGTCCTGTCATTAATAAGACATACTCCATTAATAAAAACAAATTGTCCATTGTGGGTATGTTGGAATTCTATCCATAGCTGCCTGCTGTTTACAGAGTATTCCACCTGCAATGGTCTATTTACCCCTGCCAATCATCATATGATAAAACATGCATGCTAAACAAGCCCAAGGATTTCTATCATCCTTTCCTCCAGTGCAGAAGGGTTCTGTTGGCCAAGTTCAGCTTCTCCAGTACATTTTCGGGCAAATGTTTACAGCCACTTCAAGAGAAGCAAAACTGACAAGCCCAATGCAAGTACTGGCCCGTCATGCGTCTTTTTGGAAAGATTAATGAGTATAACTAGGCTATTCCAACTTTGTGGAAGCAAAGCATACTGTCTTCTTTCTCTTATGTATTTTAGAGCATATCCTGCCTATTAACCATTTAATTCATTATGGTTTCATTTTTACCTGCTTCTGTCAGCTGCAGTGACATAATGTTGGTGAGACAGTATTCTCTGGAAGGTGAAAGATGACTAGTTTTTTAAGATGAAAGAAACGGACCGTGCCCCTTCTTTTCTGCCCGTTGCTCCCACGAGCCTAAGAGCCCCTGCACAGACATCCTCCTCTGCACAAAACCCCATAAGAGTCACATTAACCGAAAGGGAACTTAAATCAAAAGCCACACAGCTGAAAGGAACTCCGGGATCAGAGACAGGAAGTATATTTCCCAGAGAAGAGAGATCCCCCAGAATGACCCATGAGACCTCCTTAAAAGTGCAGCACTGACCCACAGCCTGCATGCGCAAACAGTGGTAAACCTCAGGCTTGTGCAGTCCCCTCCTCCTCCTGCTCCTGCAAGTGTTCGAACTGCTAGAAGGGTTTCTATCTGCTTGGGCAGGAGCTGTGAAAAAGGCAGAGACTTTTGGGCATCTGGTATCAGAACTTTAGATTAACCTAAACTGGAGGCCCTCCGAGTACTCAGTCAGAAATCTGAAAATCTGTGCAAAGAGCTCTTTCTTCCTAGCATAAGAGATCTTATTTGTGAGCTGCATCCAGCCTGCCCTGGCCCCCAAGTGGGTCAAATATTCATTGGCATAGTGTATCCCAAGCTCGCTTCCAGCGTGGGAGGGAAGGCAGCACGGACAGGGGGTTTGCCTATCCGACTCAGGCTCTGCCCGGGTCCCAGCTTGACCAGCTTCCTCTTCCTCACTGCAGCCCACGTGCTCACCCACCACGTCCCCTGGACCAGGCAACGGTGGCGGTGAGACGGAAGAGCAGCGGACGGCTGGCCTCCTCGCCTGTTCAGCTAGCGGGTGGAAGCCCGGGTGAGGAAGAGGAGGCCCACGAGCCGCTGGGGGCACCAGAAGTGAGGATAGATCCTCATCTCGCAGCCTCAGCATCCCTTGCTCGCAAAACAAAACACAACTATTGTGTGACTCTGTACCACTAAACCCAAGAAACAACTAGTGCTAAAGCAAATATAAACCAAACACAGCGCTAAACGTTTTGCTCATAATCCAAGCCAAGAACATTCCCTACAGCTCTTGCAAAGGTCTTGCCATCCCCTTTGAGGAAGCCACTGTAAAGTCTCTGCTCTTTGCTTTCTTATTTAGAGATTTCAACCCATTTCCAGGCCATTCATGGGGTACAAAGAAGAAAAAGATTCCAACATGCAAACAACAACAAACTTTAAAATGCATAAAATCTGGATTGCACAGTTTTTAAAAGCCTGGAAGAATCTAGAGTTCCATCTGGCACTGACACCGTAATGGCGCAGGCGTTAGGCAAGCCTCTCCCATGACTGAATTATTTTACATTACATTTCTATACCGCCTATTGCCGAAGCTGGGAGGTTCGCAACGTCTGCGTCACCCATCCAGATTTCAACCAGACCCGGCCCTGCTTAGCTTCCAAGATTTGGCAAGATCGGGCACTTCAGGCTATACGGAACCACTCAAATCAGTACAGTAAGATGGCTTTGGTCATGAAGCCTAATGAACTTGCAGTGCAGATGCAGAAGACGTGGGGATGGGTCGTTAGGTGCACTGCTTCGTTTACTTGTGAGAAGCCAACGCTACCAGATGTGGCGCCCTCATTCTGCTGAGCGGGGCCCAAATACCTACCCCAAGGCACTGCTGCCACCATGGGGCACAGCCCTAATGCGAATGCCCTCTCCTTGTTCCCACCCACCAGGGACGGCACTTCAGAAAGCCGCGAGAGAGGCCCTGGACTCGGGAGCCAGTTACCGGGGTTCAAGCCACCCCAGGCGCTTGCAGGAACACCAAGAGGCTGCCCAGTTGCCTGCCCAGAAGCCGTTGTGAGCTGCAGGGCTCATAAACACCACCCAGTTATCGAAAGCCATGGTGCCCAGGATTTGTGTACCGTTTCAGGCAGGTAAACAAACGCTGGTCCCAGACCTTGAGCAGGCGGGCAGTGGCAGCCGCTGGAGATGGCATTTTTAAAAGAGCTGTCCGAACCTGGTTCGCCAGGGACTGAAATATTTGGCTGAAGAGCCGTTGGTATTTTCAGGAAACGACTGCTCCGTCTCCAAAGGGCCATGTTTATCAAGCCCATGTGCTACTTGAGACACGGGGTAGTGGGGAAAAATGTCTCACTATGCCTTTTTTCCTAGAAGAAAACGGCCAAACAGAACAGCAAAGGTTGATGGAATGGTGGGGAACGGGGGAACGAAGCCAGGGCACAGATAGCTCCGGAATTCTTCTCCCCTGAGACACCGAGGATGGCTCAGCAAAGAGTCACGGGGAAGCCCGTCCTGCCTCCCTCCAGTGCCAGGTTCATATTTTCGCCATGAATCCCAAGTCACGAGTGGGGATGCGTCCGTCCTTTCCGCAGCGCAGAAAAGAGACACCAGAGACGCTGAAGTGGCGTCAGCAGGAAAACATGCCGTTTGCAGCCAACTTGAACCAAGAGTTTTGGAGCAAGAGCAAGACGGGGGGGAAAGGGAGGGTGAGCTGCAGCCTTGCTGTGAATAGCAGGGAGCAAAAAATTAAATGCACACAGCGAAAGAACAGGTTCAGTGTCCATTTTAGTGGAAATATGCTCACTATCGCCAAAGTGTCAATAAATTCAGCATTTGTACAAAACAGATTAACAGTTAAGGAAAGAACAAGCTAAATAAAGGGACTGCAGAAATCGAAGGGATTCACAGCGTAAAGCTACAAGCGAAATACTTTCCATTGAATTCAGTGAGACTTACAGTATATCACAAAAGTGAGTACACCCCTCACATTTTGTAAATATTTTATTTTATCTTTTCATGTGACAACCCTGAAGAAATGAAAATGAGTACACCCCTAAGTGAAACTGTCCAAATTGGGCTTTATTAGCCATTTTCCCTCCCCAGTGTCATGTGACTCGTTGGTGTTACAAGGTCTCAGGTGTGAATGGGGAGCAGGTGTGTTAAATTTGTTGTTATCGCTCTCACTCTCTCATACTGGTCACTGGAAGTTCAACATGGCACCTCATGGCAAAGAACTCTCTGAGGATCTGAAAAAAAAAGAATTGTTGCTCTACATAAAGATGGCCTAGGCTATAAGAAGATTGCCAAGACCCTGAAACTGAGCTGCAGCATGGTGGCCAAGACCATACAGCGGTTTAACAGGACTGGTTCCACTCAGAACAGGCCTCGCCATGGTCGACCAAAGTTGAGTGCACGTGCTCAGCGTCACAACCAGAGGCTGCCTTTGGGAAATAGACGTATGAGTGCTGCCAGCATCGCTGCAGAGGTTCAAGGGGTGGTGGGTCAGCCTGTCAGTGCTCAGACCATACGCCGCACCCTGCATCAAATTGGTCTGCAGGGCTGTTGTCCCAAAAGGAAGCCTCTTCTAAAGTTGATGCACAAGAAAGCCCACAAACAGTTTGCTGAAGACAAGTAGACTAAGGACATGGATTAGTGGAACCATGTCCTGTGGCCTGATGAGACCAAGATAAACTTACTTGGTTCAGATGGTGTCAAGCGTGTGTGGCGACAACCAGGTGAGGAGTACAAAGACAAGTGTGTCTTGCCTACAGCCAAGCACGGTGGTGGGAGTGTCATGGTCTGGGGCTGCATGAGTGCTGCCGGCCCTGGGGAGCCACAGTTCATTGAGGGAACCATGAATGCCAACATGTACTGTGACATACTGAAGCAAAGCATGATCCCCGCCCTTCAGAGACTGGGCCGCAGGGCAGTATTCCAACACGATAACAACCCCAGACACACCTCCAAGACAACCACTGCCTCGCTAAAGAAGCTGAGGGTAAAGGTGATGGACTGGCCAAGCATGTCTCCAGACCTGAACCCTATCGGGCATCCGTGGGGCATCCTGAAACGGAAGGTGGAGGAGCGCAAGGTCTCACGTCCACCAGCTCCGTGATGTCGTCATGGAGGAGTGGAAGAGGGCTCCAGTGGCAACCTGTGAAGCTCTGGTGAACTCCATGCCCAAGAGGGTCAAGGCAGCGCTGGAAAATAATGGCGGCCACACAAAATAGTGACACTTTGAGCCCAATTTGGACAGTTTCACTTAGGGGTGTACCTGTGAGCCCATTTGGCAATTGGAGAAACAGTTTTCGGCACCACCACAAAGCCACCATGGGGCAGACAACAGCATTGCTTGGCAGCTGCCAGCCTTGACTTGTTTCCAGCCCTCACGTGTGGCCCGGAATTTGTGTGAAGGCAGTGGCTGGGGGCGCCCAATTTGCTTCCGAGTGGCCCCAGTCAGAAATGGTGTTCTCTCAAAGGACTGGGAAGGGGAGAGCTGCTTGTAAGAGCCAAGGTGCCAGAGTGTCCAGAGGGCCCTCCAGGGGAACCCCGCTCTCCCTTGCAGGGCGCAACCTTGCTTCGGCCCTGGGCAAGCACAACCGGCCTCTGCCCCCCGGGATGAAGCTTGCAGGGTCCTCAGCACCCCAGGGGCTGGATGCAGCTATCAGAAGCTGCAGCCGGTGCAGAACAGAGTAGCCAGATTAAGAACTGTGGCTCATGGGTTCTGGCCCGGCTGTATTGGCTGCCCCTGTGCTTCCAGCCCCCACCCAAGGTGCCGGTCTTATCCTATAAAGGCTTAAAGGCTTAGGACCACAATAACAACTTCTCTCAACTGCAATCTACTTAGACACTACGCTCTACCTCTGGGGCCTTCCTTCAAGTGCAGAGGGAGGCAGCAAGGGGCAGGGCCTTCTTTGTGTTGGCCCCCTGCTTCTGGAACAACCTCCCCATTGCAACCTGACTGGCACCAAATTTATCGTCTTCTGGGTGCCAGGCTAAGATGGCCTTCTTCTCTGAAGCCTTTAAAAAATTATTTTGCCACCTAATGCCTTGTGGGGGGGGGGGGGGGTCACTGAACGTGTCTCAGAGTCATTCTTTTACTATCCTATACTATTATGCATTATCATCTTTTTTTAGCTGTTTAAATGCAT